GCTGACTCATTTGTACCGGAGCTTCTGAGAAGATGCCAGAGATCTTAGACTGCAGACCACTGGGGAATGTCAAATAATCCAAGACATATATAAGTCACTCTCGTGGAATTTCCGACAGACTTTTTTGTATTAATATTAACAGCACCGTGCGATAAAAACAGAAACATTTTACAAAACACGGATCAATTAATATACTCACAAAAGTGTGGGCCAAATATAGTAAAACTGCCGCATAGTGCGGCGGAAATCCAAAAGTGCCGTTAAGATTCGAGTAAAAAGTTTCTATACAGGGCTGTTTCTTCATTGAGTTGCCTAGAGGGATACTCTAAGAAGCGAAAACCGTTCACAGTAACGGACGCCCAAGCACAACATTATTGTAGATTCAAACTGGAATGTAAAAGTACTTTCAGTAAAGGAAATCAATAAAAAACCAAATGGAATCTATGTCCGAACGTTGTTAAAATACGCACAAAATTTTCTGAACATTAACATTATAACATAAATTTTCCAAAGAGAGTGCCTTTTTGTCTATATTTTGTTAAACATTTCGAGTGCTGCCTTTAAACCTATTGGAGGTTACTTAGAAAAGTATAAGCTACTCAATAAAATAAAATTGGGCTGCTAAAATCTGCCACTGGAATTTTAATATATTTTTTTAACACTTTTTTATTTAACTCACCTGTATGTAAAAATTTCGAATTTTTTAATTAGATTTCTTAGAAAGATTTTTGGGTAGCAGTTTTGTAGCCCGTTCAATTTCAGTGCAAGTTTAAATCATCTGGGACTTGAGGTTGATATTTGGCATTTTTTGTTGTAGGTGTTGCTCATTTAAAAACAAATTTTTAAAATTCAACGGTATGTCCTGGCAACTTCAAATTTGAACGTTATCTAAACTTGAGTGGACTCTAAACCTGCATACTCAAAATTTGTCTACCTAGCTACTGGTCTACAAGACTAAAAAGTTTGGGGATCTCGGTTCTTATCCAACCCGATATTTTATTCGAACTGAATATTTGGCATTCTTTTTTTTACACACCAAAAGTACATATGTTTATCATTAGCAAGCCACCTTAAATATGTTTGTATGTACATATGCCATGCAGGTGAACAAGCTACTATACTCAAAGTTTTCAAACAAATTTCAGTTATGTCATGCGCTGCACCGTCAGCTAAACAATAATCCAAACTTTAAGCGTAAAAAAATCTAAAGCACAAATCGTTAGTGTTTTAAATAATAAGCACAAACTCCTAGACTGTGCAAAAATTCACAATGCATGCATATGTACTTACAGTGAGTCAAACAAATGACCACGTGTTGATTTTTTTAAATTTCGTAATGCTTTTCCAGCTTAATTTTTATTTTTTTTATTTATATCTATAAAAGTACCGTCCAAGCTTCAACCAAAAACATTTACATCACAGTTTCAAACTTTAAAGGAAAATGCAACCAATTCTCATCAAAATTTCAACTTTTTAATCTGAATCCTTAGAATATTTTTTGGTATGCAGTTTTATAGCCCATACAATTTTAGTCTAATAAAGTGTTAGTTTGAAACGGCTAAAAAATCCCTTTGATTTTTGAGAATTTTTTTTTGTGACGAATTTGAATTTTTTTTGCCGTTTAATCATGAATTTCTTTTGAAATAAAATGTAGCAGATCGTTGGCAACAAATCCCAAAAATTCAACGCCAGTTTGTCGAAATTGCACTTATTTTGTATAAAAAAAAACCGCAAAAGCAGTCTCCAAACAAAGTTCTAAGAAATCAATACGAATTTTTAACCGGTCGAAACTTGCACTTTATTAGACTAAAATTCTATGGACTATGAAACTGCATACCCATAAATGTTCGGAGAACCCAGATTGAAAAGTTGAAATCTTGATGAAAATTTGTTGAATTTTCCTACAGTTTTTATAATGACTAAGACTTTGCTTTATATGGTTTGGATAAAGCTTGGATTTTTATAGAAAAATTACAAAATAAAATTATCTGACCAAAATCTATGAATATTAAAAAAAAATCTGCACGTGGTGACATGTTTGAGTCACTGTATACATATGCGGAGTGTGTGTGCTGGTTGAAGTATGTAAAAATGTGGTAAACCACTGTCGCTGATGATGGGTATAACGGTGCTAGCGCGGTTGCGTTGGCGCGTCGTCGGAAGTTGTTAAACAACACGTCGAACAGCTGTGATGGCGCCGCCTAATAATAGTGCAAGAACAAAAACAAAACAGCATACACGACTGGCAGTAAATGGTAAGGATGGCGGCGACTAGCAGTAAAAGCAAGCAGCGGTGGTAGCGATGAGTGGTGTTGCATAGCTGCAGGCGCAGTCTGTCCGTACACACCAGTGGCAATATCCCAGTAAAATAAAATTATAGTTTAAAAAACGAAAACCTCCCTATTATAATTGCTATTCGTACTGTCATCAGGTATGTAACTTGAGAATAGAAATCGCTGCATCTTTTAGGCGCATCAATATTACATAGTTACATCCCGAGCTAATAAAAGGAAGGTAATAAAAATATATGAATTAACACCAAAATCGAGCAATAATAGTGTAATGAGTTATTCATCCATTTGGAGAAATAAATTATCAATCAAAGAATTTTTACTTTTACCAAAAATTTTATTAATTTGATTGCTCGCTTATCGATACGTTTTTAGGTAATAAACGAGCTAAGTAGGTAAAGAAGAGTACTTACTCTATTTGTCTTTGTTCCGGAGGTCAAAGTAAGCTCAAAAGAAAACTTCCTTTGCTCGCCCCTAAGGGCATGCAATATTAAAAAGATCAGATATAAAATGCCCGAAGCTGCGAGATTTGTCCATTGCTCGCAAATGGGCGAACTGAGAATAATCTTTGGATGATCCTATTTTTGACTGGGATTTTTATGTATACATGCATACATTTTTACATATAACTGTTACTACTTATATACATACATACATATGTAGGAGTACACTTTGACTCTATTTAACACTAAACCACTTAATAGCTTCATGGAGTTTTGTGTTTTTTTCTCCCGCTGTTTTCACAACAACTATTGCTGCTTAAACTTTCCGTGCCGCAAATTGAACGTGTTGTTGGCGGTTTTGTTGAAGTTTGACGCGCGCAGTTCAAGCTTTTTTTTTAGCAGCCACAAAAATAGTACAGAGTCAGTAAAGTAAATGTGGTGGTGGTAATTATAAAGTTTTCTCTATATTTGAACATACATACATACATATTTTGCATTTTTATACCTTTCGATAATAAGATATAGCTCACATACAACTGATTGTTCAGATATGAGATTTTTCGTTACAACTTCTCCATTTATACAGCTAGGAACATGAAATTTTGCAATACTTCCACCCATTATCAACAGAAAACTTAGAGTGAAAATTAAAAAGATCGGGTCACTATAACCTATAGCTCCCATACAATTGATTGTTCAGATATACGATTTTTCGTTATAACTCCTCCATTTAAGTAGCTAGGTACATGAAATTTTGCACTGTTGTCACCCACTACTAAACCAATAATTTCATGAAATGAAATGAAAATGAATGAAAATGGCGAAGATCGGGTCGCTATAACCTATAGCCTCCATACAGTTGATTGTTCAGACATAAGGTTTTTTGCCATAACTTATCCATTTATGCAGCTAGGAACATGAAAATTCGCACCTTTTTCACTCAGTTTTAACAGTTTTAATACCTACAGTGAAAATAACAAAGATCGGGTCATTATAACATATATCTCCCATACAACTGATTGTTCAGTTATGAGAATTTTCGTTATAACTCCTCCATTTATGCAGCTAGGCTCATGAAATTTTGCAATACTTCCACCCACTATCAACAGAATACTTACAGTGAAAATAACAAAGATCGGGTTACTTTTACATATTGTTCCCATACAACTGACTGTTCAGATAAGCGATTTTTTGTTTTAACTCCTCCATCTATGCAGCTAAAAATATGAAATTTCAAACTATTTTCACTCATTACAAACAGAAAGTTTACAGTAAGATTAACAAAGATCGGGTCACTATAACCCGATTTATTGCCTCCATACAACTGACTGTTCAGATATGGGGTTTTACTGTAAACTTCTTTATTTGGACAGCTAAAACCGATAAATTCCGTAAGCTATTTTTTAAATGGTAATACAAAGTCTACTGAGAAAATTGTCAAAATCTATGCTGTATAAACTTTATCTCTTATACCACTGATTGTTCAGATACCAGTTTTTGCGATATATCTCATTTATGTAGGAAGCTAAACCCATTAAAATGTGTTACCGGTTTACATACCGATCACACAGCAGTGGAATCACTTAGATTGGTGCTATATAAGGTATATCTTCCATACCCCTGATTGTTTAGATATGATTTTTTAAATATATGTGAATATATACATTTTTTCAAATGCAGTAATCTGTCAAATTAAAGTTTTCAGATGCTCATGAAAGGTATGAAGCCTTCGGCATAGCCGAAGACAGCGCTGTTCTTACTTACTCTCTCGTTGCATCCAACTCTGATTTTCATAGAATCGCTTACTTTAGTGCATACGCACATACTTAAGAGGTAATAGTTAATATAATTGCGCTCCTAAGTATCTCATCTGTTTACTTTGGAGCTGTTTCTACATATTTTTGTTTAAGAAACCCTATGGGCCGCCTGATGTTCAGCTCCAGGCAATAAATTCTAGCATCTACCCCATCTTCTATGTTAAAATATTTTCCCATTGAAAACAAGGTGCTACCAGCGCTACTTTTTGCAGTTTAGCAATGCCTGAATGTAATCAAGGACTACTCCCAGATCCTTGAAGCGGTTTTTTAGGGTCAATTCGGTGTTACTTAACTCCCACAGGAAGAAAAAAATTAACCTTTCATTTTCGTCTATTTTTCATTATCGGGAAATTTCTAAAGTATTTAAGACTACGCTGATTGTAACCTATTTTATTCTATTTTGGTTAATCTTTTACTTCTGTAGTGGACAATTTTCAATTCTCACTTACCTTATCACGAATATCTTGCCTCATCTTTTCACGCTCCTCTTCCATCTTACGATGCTTCTCCTTTCGTCGCTCTTCGGCCTCACGTATGGCCTCCAGACGCTCCCTCTCCTCCTCCTCTGCCTTTTCCTTATCGTCGCCATCATCGCCGCCATCACCACCTACGGCGCCTGTGAAGGGAGAAATAAATGAAATATTCAAATTAGTTTTTATTTTTATTTTTTAATACAGTAGTAAATAACTATGTACTCGCATAAGTGTATAGTTTGATGATATGTATTTAATTGGAATTATTATTTAGAATAAGCTTAAGAAATGTCTTCTCTCGATCAGACTTGAAAAGTAATATTTTTGCTAAAGAATTTGATAGTAAGCGTAGTCAGTAGTGAAAAAAAAAACATTGAAGTGGACTCCTCGCAATATACTTGTCAGAAATTTGTGTAGCCTTTATGGAATTTTGCTTGGCTTTGTTTAATTTTTTCAATTTTTTTGGAATGTTTGAGATTGTTTTTTTCGAGTGTTTTTGCTACATTTCGGAATCCTTCGGCATTCCTTTTAGATTTTTTTGGAGCTTTCCTGTTAAATTTTTTTGACTTCTGGGGATTATTCGTAACTTTTTAAAATTATTTATGTTCATATGTCCTTCTGTAATTTACAATGATTTTAAGCTTTCGAGTTTAACACATTAAGATTAAAAATATTAATTTATATTGGAATGTTATGTTATGCACTCTTAAATTTTATAAATAATCATTATTTTTAAAAGGGAAAAACAAAACTCAATAATAGTTTTTATCTTTGAGCGAAGAAATAATAATCAAATAATAATTATTTCCGTTGAGCGAAAAACTAAAACATTGTAATAATAAATACTTTTTTAATCGAAAAAGAAATCATAAAATAATGATTAAATTCTACATTAAATTATTTTACTTATAATTATTACTGTCCCTGGTTTTTAATAATGGTTTGGATTAAACTTACCTACACCTCTACATACCCATACCCATATTGCAATATTCAATTTATCTTATGAACCCTCTGAAAAAATATTTTCCCCTGTTAGTCGTCTTAAACCTCTTACTTTTGGCAACTATATTGCAATTTTTACTTTATCTTATCAATTTACTTAGACTTTTAAACTGGACCTCTATCAATACATCGGTGAAATGCGCATACAAACATACAGACAGACAGACAGACAGAGAGACAGACGGACAGGCAGACAGACAAAAATTCTATAAACTGTTGATCTGGCCTAATACCTATAATGTATAGACATCGGCCTATTACGAATTTTATTATATGTATAGATGTGTTCACTGTGTCAACTTGGATATCATCCGAGAATTACTTTTGTCTAAAGGCCGTACCTTGGGCTCTATTTTACTTTACAAATCTCTCGTTATTTTATATGGCCCAGGAAATTGAGCGATGGCGAACAAAGATAAAAGAGATTTACGCAAGTTGAAGGCCCTGTTTATCCAGCTCATATAAATTCATCGCCAACGCTGGCTTGGACATGTCTCACTTATGGATGTTCCCAACAAAAATTTTGATTGCTTACTTTTTGTATCGATTAAGTAATGCATTACAATACACCGCAAGACAAAATTTTTCACTTTCTCGTTTACTCACTGCATTACCTGTAACCTTTTCACTCATCTCTTCTCAACTGCTCGACATGAGAAAGGATTCATCAACGAATTGTATTTTGTATTTTGTAATGTTTATTTTAAGGCGGTGATTCTAAAAATGCAAACATTCTGATTCTAATATGTTTATATTTGCAAGCCAATTTATCTATGTGCTTGCAGCTATAACCGCATCTGCATGTATTGTGTAAATGCCAAGAAGAAGAAAATACCACAAAATAATATTAGGGGTATTCACGATCCGGTGCATACTGTATAGCATGGTGATTGTATAATTTTGTTGTTGTTTCATGTGTTCAAATAACAACAAAATTAGACAATCGTGCTATTTATTCTATCTATGCACCATGATAGCCAGCATGGACCGGATCGTAAATACCCCTATTACACAACTTGCGAATGCATGAATATGTATAAATATGTATGTACAAGCAAATATTGTCTGGCTCATTACATACATTCATACAAGTACTAGTAGTACAATTGTGTGGCTTTGCGGTTATGTGGCTTAGCAGATCTTCGGTAAACTTTAATCTGTAAATTTAATTTGTAGATTTAAAAATGCTTGCTTTACTACACACACACACACACACACACACACACAAAACAACAGATAATTATTCATGAGATTTTTCAGTATTAAAATACATAAATATGTAAGCGAAGAAAATAAAAACATTAAATTAACAAACACATTTCTCATTAAAATGACAAGCGGAAATTATGTTTTACGTAAATTACATATTTAAATGCAAATCGTCATGTAAAGCAAGCTTTCTCCTTGTTTTTAATTTGTTGTTGATTTTAACTTTAGCCCTGTAAAAAGAAGTTTTTTATTGTTTTCATAATGTTCATGAATTTTTAACTATTTATGAAATGCGGCAGGTGTAATCGGATATTTTTTTCTACTAGCATTTTAGTATTCATTTAAATGCATTTGTTTTAATAATACAATTAAAATGATATTTTAAGTGCGTTTTACCACAAATCGTTGAATTAACATAACTCAGCATTTGACACACATGTACATATGTATGTATGTATATAGGTATGCATATACTCCAAAATATTTATGCTTATTAAATGCATCGTTTATTTAGCTTTTTTCTTTGCTGGCTGTAGGACAAATCATTTTACATATTTCGATTGCGCACACATTTGGCTTAAAGTAAAAAATGTTTATAAAAAAAATGCGCTTAATTTGTGTGCAAATTTAAATGCTTATACATTTTGTATTAATTATCTTTTTTGAAGTACTTCACTTTTGTTTCTCAGGTTTGGTGCAAGTTTAGTGTTGTGGAAATTCATATGCCTGCATGCACAACTGCTGTATATTAATTCATGTGGAAGATGAACTGAGTTCTTTTTGTGATTTTTTTGGAGTTGATGTGCCAATTCATATTTCCTGTATTAAATTTGCTATATGATAAGTAAACTCCTCTGCCACAACTCTCTCTACCAAGGTTAAGCAGAGCTTTTTTTTGCCATCTGCTCTGAGCTTACTTATTTGTAGAACTTGCATTTGTCTGGCTTTAAAACTACCTACAGCGCTGCTAGCGGCTACGTGCGCATTGCCTATGTAAGTTTTGAGAGTTTTTGTCTCATCGTGAGTAGGGTAGTCTTTAACACTCACGATATCACCCCATATGTTACCATAGGTTTTAATATCGTCTTAGGATTTTTGGCCTTAAATTCGGATATTATCCGCTAGACGTTTGCACACTAATAAAGCTTTTTCTGCTCTCGATATGGTTGCGCTTACGTGCTTTTTACATAGAAGCTTGGTGTCCAGGGTCAGTCTTGGATACATAATTTTATTGGAAATTCACCCTAATTAAATTCTACTTAAGTTAATATCTCTCAAGCCCTCTCATGGTGAAATAACATAAACGGCACTTTTAAAGGGGAAATAATACCAAAATCTGAGTTTTGCTTTACTTCCAACAAAGGTTGGCTTGGCCACGTCGTTCGAATGGACTCCGGCGTTCTAGCTCTGAACCCGCTGGTGGTAGCAGAGGAAGAGGGAGGCCCCCACTGAGTTGCAAGGACCACATGGAGAAGGACTTGGCTTCACTTGGCATTTCCAATTGGCATCAGTTGGCACAGAAAAGAAACGACTGGCGTACTTTGTTAAACTCGGCCAAAATCGCTTAGGCAGTTCCAGCGCCAAATAAGAAGAAGAAGAAGTCAACGAAATATCATGTGCGACGATTTCATGCTGGGGATAGTGTTCGCTTAGCGAACCTGAGGGCCTCGGTTCGAATCGCAGCGGGCGGAAGTTTTTGTTTGTATATTTTAAAAGCGGCTGGTCGCATTCTATCCCCATTCTGGTATAAAAGGACAAAATAAGTCTCTTCGTAGGACATGCTCGAACAAGAAGCGATATTAGTTGCATGTTATTTTGCGCATGCTTCCAGAGTAATCCTCGATTAGTCGCATTTTTGCAGGGTAAGAACAGAAGATATTTGCATTATCCAAAAACTGTTAACAGGGTGTTCCTTTATATTTTTTATGAGTACTTCTTACTTGTAGTAGTATTTTTCCGCCAACACTTTTTCTTTCATTGTAGAGTACGCCTTGATGTTATAACACAAATGGAGGGACCTAAAATTGTACGCTACTTCCGAACGACAAAAGATTTTATGAGAAGCTTTTTCAAGTTAGAATGCACTGGGAGGTTTGCCGTTGCTACCGCTGTTAAAAAATAACTTTCTTTAACTTCGGAACAGGGTTGGACCGGGGTCATACGACGTGGACGCACTAATCACTCAGCCATAGCGGCTCTGGTAACGCCTTACTAAACCACTTGCTTATTTATCTCTTTACTGAACCATAAACAAATATATATAATTTACCTATAAATGATATTTTTGAAAGACGACTTTGTGATTGAAAGATTTTATTCAAAAAAAAACAAGGAAATATATTTTAGTTTCGAGACTGAATCCATAACACAAGCAATACATTCATATACGGATGTAAATATGGCTATTCATTACAACGAAACCACCTCTGAGTTCGACAGTTTTACTTGAAATCTATTTTGCAACTTATTGGCCTATTCATCGTTTCTTAATACTTGGGTATTCCTTAAGCAAATCATTTACTTTATATGCATGAACTCAAGTTTTTACTTTTCTTAAGTATTAACTGCTTACTTTGCAGCTATGTAATTTCATTTGCTCCTTTCAATGTAAGTACATAATTTAATAGATATTGTACTTAATTTAATTTCCATTCATTGATTTCATTAAACTGAATTTTATACAATCGCCCAGCTCACACAAGTCAAATTAATAAGAAAAGTTTTTCTACCTCTCTGACTTTTATGATTCCATACACATTTCTCTCTGCACCACAGTGCATTGTCGGGCTCTGCATTCCCCACCAATGTAAGCTCAATTTTAATTTTACGACTCTTCTTTTACTAATTACATTTGCTGCTTTGCACAATACATTTAAGTTAATTAAAAGTAATTTTTTGTTGTTGTACCAAAAAGTTTCTAATGCCCAAA